GACAAAGATTTTGGGGTAGTCTCTCTCACAGCAAGGCCTACACTGTCCGCTTACCTGAAGGGCAACCTGCAACAACTCCCACCAAATCATGCGGAGGACATGCAGTGGAGTTTGAATCTTCTTCAGGCGGCCCTCGACGGAGAAGAAGTGCCCCTCTGCTACACGGTGACAGGCAAAAAATTCTCCACCGGGAAGAAGTACCTCAATGAGGTTCGCCCTGATTTGGCAGGGATTTCTGGCAGTACCACTCACTACTTCGAGGACATCCCTGAGTCAACTCAACCACCCACAAAAAAGCTCCGGTCTGTGAAATCGTCCAGCTCCCTGCTCGCATCTTCCAACACTGCACCAACAACCGCAGCTGCAGCGTCGTTCGTGGCAAAGGACAAGGACACGGTAAGGTCATCGTCTTCTACCGACACTTTCATGCCGGCCCCTTGCTCAGTCTAAAGGGAAGGTTTAGGGCTCGTCGAAACATTAACAGCTTCATAATCTGTGCCTATCACATGCCACATCACAGCCTAAACCAGCTTACGCCCAACATTTGAAAAACGCTTCTTCCGTTTTGTATGAGGTGCGTGTGAAGAAAGAGCCCACGGACGCCTTGCAGAAGTCCATCGCCTTCAAGAAGAAACTCGGCAGCCGCGCGTTGCAAATCAATCTCTCCAGCTCATCAGAGAAGGAGGACACGAAACACACGTCGTCGCCTCTCCACGCCGAGATCAAGCAGTCCCCGCCCCATCCGGATTCCACCGCTGATGGATTCTTGCCGTCGCCAAACACACATGCAAAGGCAGGAACTTCTGCAGTGGACTTCACGAATGATGAGATGGATGTTGTCTCCAACACTTCTCAAGTGGATCCAATGAAGGTTCTCCCGGACGACCACGATCTTGAAGCAGAGAACCTCGGCATGACCTTCTCACAGCAGCTCGATGACTTCGTGGACAACATGCCGTCAGAGTGAGCCTCACGAGCACGATGACTGCAGCCCTCTCCTACTGAGTCCTACTGATCGCAGTTCGCGTAATAGCTATGCTACGTGCCTAGTTTTGATTCCCGGTATCCAAAGAGTAGCTGTTTTGTTCACAGGCTACTTCTCACCACAAGCTCGATCGCAGGCTCAAAACGCCCACACTTCTGATGCCAAACATGTTGCGTGCAGCACACGTCCCTTGCCTTCTCTCCGTGTTGATTTGATGGCAATTTGTCAAGTAGCCTTGCTGCATCAAGGAACCGTTTCACAAGAACTCTTGTCATCATGCCCAAGGCGGTCATGAAAGCCATGAAGGCAAAGCCTCCTTTCCCTGCTCCCAAGCGAGGAAAGCATCGCGTCCAGAGACGCCCCGCTTCCAAGAGCTATGTTCCCGTGCCATATGTTCGCCACGGCATCCTAACGGCCAAAAACAAAGGGTTTCGCCTGCGATGGGGGGAGTCCATACAGCACCTCATGTCACTGAAAGGCCGCCGACTGATCACACACCTTCAGAAGGATAAAATCTTGCCCAGCTGGCAGGGTCGCCAGTGCCCTCGCTGCGCCAAAGGCGTTCTCGGGACACTCAACTATGTCAAGGCTAAGAAGATCTGGGCCTACCGATGCAATCACAAGCACTGCCACAAGTTCTTGCAGCCGCACGACTACCATCCCGTCTTCTTCATGTCTGCTGGGAACTCGTCAACGTCTCTTGGCAAACAGGCTGCAGTGCTGTATTGTGCAACAGCCAATGTCCCCTGCCAGTCTACCCACTTGATCCTTGACATGGACCACAAGCCCGTGGAGCGCATCTACACCAACCTAGACGTCGCCCGTGCTCAGTACGTCGTCCAACAGGAGAAGCAGATCACCTACGGTGGCAATTGGGAGGATGTAGAGGTGGATGAAGTCGATCTTGGCAAGCTCACGGACGAGTCCTTAGGCCCACGCAACACGAAGTGGGAACAGTGGGGCGGACTAGTTCAGAGAGGCTGTCCATCGTCGTTGTGCTTGTTTCGCTTGAACCCGAAGCTCACCACAAAGCGGGCGCCGGGTCCTGGCCCAATCAAGAAGGTGGACTGGGCTGTTATTGCTAAAAAACACCTCGCCAACCGCAAGGTGGTTTTGCACAGCGACGGCGCCCGTGCCTACACTCTCAAGATCCCGCAAGTGAAGCATTGCAACGTCGTCCACAAGAAAAAGAAGGTTACCATCAACGGCAAGGCTCGGTGCTCACCATTTTTACTGTTGATTCAATACATGTCCTTTCAGCTGCATCCATGAATCGTTTGGTCCCTTGTCTTCTCCATCAGGCACAGTGGGTCAAGCCCCACTACACGAAGGTTTACACCGTCACACTTCCAGACCGCCGACGGCTGAAGGTGAAAAGCGGGACGCAAGTCATTGACCGTTTCTGGGGCACTTTGAGGACCGTCTTAAAGAACTCATCCCGAGTCCCAGGTAGCCAGCAACTCGTCCGGAAGATCCGGTCGGCCCAGTTTACATACTGGAACCGCAATTCGAACATGTGGAAGGCCACAGGTCGAATGCTCCACTCTCTCTTTCAGATCAACTGAAAGACCGCTCCCTTGCGATGATTTTGAGCGCTCTCATCGCACGTCTTGTCGCGAACGCAAAACAGCAAGGACCTTGCGTGTTGTTTGCATGTGCAATACTGCAAAACATCACTCGCAGAAAGTCCTCTGCCGCAGCTTCCAGCCTCAGCCTCCCTTCATAACCACCCGTTGACTATCTGCAGGCCAAAATAAGGACAGTACAGCCCGGACAGGCGAAAGTGCTGTACTGTCCCTATTTTCTCGTCCCCAGGCAAGCAAAAAATAGGGACAGTACAGCACTTCTGCAGTCTGAAGAGGCGAAAGTGCTGTACTGTCCCTATTTTTTGCTTCCCGGTACCAATAAAGTGCTGTACTGTCCCTAAAAAACCTAAAAAACCAATCTTTTGGGAACCACCGGGGGCTCCAGGGCTGGTAGTGCTGGAAAGATTGGTTTTTTAGGTTTTTTAAGGACAGTACAGCACTTTATTGGTACCTGCAAGCAAAAAATAGGGACAGTACAGCACTTCTGCAGTCCGGACAGGCGAAAGTGCTGTACTGTCCCTATTTTTTCGTCCCCAGGCAAGCGAAAAATAGGGACAGTACAGCACTTTTGCAGTCCGAAGAGGCGAAAGTGCTGTACTGTCCCTATTTCATGGGTTTCAGGCAAGCCATATTCGCACTTCGCAGACACACACACACACACACCACACACACACACACACACACACACACACACACACACACACACACACACACACACACACACACACACACACACACACACACACACACACACACACACACACACACACACACACACACACACACACACACACACACACACACACACACACACACACACACACACACACACACACACACACACACACACACACACACACACACACACACACACACACACACACACACACACACACACACACACACACACACACACACACACACACACACACACACACACACACACACACACACACACACACACACACACACACACACACACACACACACACACACACACACACACACACACACACACACACACACACACACACACACACACACACACACACACACACACACACACACACACACACATAAGAACTCGGTAACACCAGAAACCAACGTTGCAACAAAGAAGTTTGAAACAATCGTTTTAAGAGGAAAACCATCGGTATTTGCAGTGTTTTCTGCATCTGCATGTATAACAAAGAGTATAGACATGGAGTGACACGAGTATGAAAAACCTTAGGGGTGGATCTTGGGGGGGGGGCGACCATATATATATATGTGTATATGTGTATATACATATATATATATATATACATATATTTATCGCACGGCTGTCCGAGGGGCTCAGTTTCCTAAACCAGTGATTTCTTAAGCAGTGCTGTTGCTGTGCACCTTGTGAGCAGCATCGAACACTCACATTTGCTTCTTGCCCGGGCGGACATGGATTGGATGTCGCAGTCCAGGGAAATCTTTTCTAGTGTTTGCGACGCACGGGCCAGGGAGCTCTCGGGATGGTTTGCCATCTGGCGAAGAGATGCGAAGAGGAGAGAGGGATACAGAGTGGAGGGCGAGAGAGAGAAGAGCTCTTAGGCATGGATTTGCCCGCGACCTCAGCATGTGACATGTGTCTTCGGATCAATTTTTTTGCAGGAGGTTTTATGCGAAGCCAGTGTCACGTATAGGCAGGATTGTTGTGCGAAGCCAGTGTCAAGCTGAGGGCGTTAATGTACATTGTTAATTAAGGCAAAGTGGGTATGTGGAGAACTGGGCAGTGTGCAGTGCTTTACAGCGCATTGCTGAGACATCATGCCGTGCTATGCCGAAAGAATGCTTGTCGCTGTTGAATTTCGCTTCGTTTCTGTTGGGGGTCGTGGCTGATGAGGGGCCCACGCAGAGAGTGCAGAGTGATGTGCGATGACCCGAATTGCCCAGGTTCCGGTCCAGCTGATCCAAATGCTAGGCTCCGAGCTTGGGCCACAGTCAGGACAACACACAACGCTCCGCAAGCGGTTGCAGTGCGGCCCAGGTGCAGTCACTTGGAGCATGTTGATACTCAGTTGGAAGCCAAGCCTGGCTATGCAGGGCACCCGTGGACGAAACCACGAATGAGGGATGTCATACGACTCTGCTGCGGCCGGAGCACATTGTTCTGCCACGGCTAGAAGTTTGAAGGCGTTCTGAAAGTGGCGTCGTAGCTGGCATTTCAACATGTAGGATGGAGTCCGGGCAGCCTGCACTTCTGTATAGCATGGTGCGGCAGCAACATTGGTGGGCCCTAGAGTGCGAAACTAGTGGGTAAAACACTGGCAGTCGCTTGCAAGAGCATCATATGAGGTGCGAGAGAGAGAGAGAGAGAGAGAGAGAGAGAGAGAGATGCATCTTGAACAGAAGTGATCCTCACGGATGACGCACCTTGTTGTTCAGCAGCTGCGCGGGAGGAGCAGAGAACCAAGATGCAAAAGATGTTGGCCACAACGCAAGAGGCAACACAGGCTCAGCATGGCGCCGCTGCATATGCTGCAGTTGAGTCTTGGCTTCCGGAGGCTTCCTTGAAGCAGAACGTGAATCAGCTCATGTCTGCCTTGCAAGAGTCGGAGGCCTTTGTGTTTTTTTGGGTGGAGTTGTCACGCATGGGAAAACGTCTCTCGCAGGCATCCACTGTGGAAGCTGCTGCTCAAGTCCAGGAAATCGCCGTTGTCTTCAAGTGCCGCATGTGCCATGCGTTGACGTAGCTCATGTGGATTATTAGGTGTGTATCCACCAACGAGCATTGCTGAGATACCTCCTGTGCTATTGCTCAGACGGCGATGTGTGTGTGTGTGTGTGTGCATCCACCAACGAGCACTAACGAGACAACCCTTTTGCTGTCGTGTAGACAGTGCAGAAAGTGAAACCAACTATAATCATCGACAGTTCCGTGTATGTGTATGCAGCATACGAATACGATCTCAGCGTCAGTTGTGCATCCGAGTCCTCGTCCAGTTTGAACTGTTCGGGTCTCGTCCAGGATTCGGAAGGCCGGGAGGAAGCCTACGTGTCCAGGCTAGCACGAGCTGAAGCCTCATGAAGACTTTAGCTTGGTGCTCTTCGTTGACTTCTTTCGCCCAGGAAAGGAGCCGCAATTCCACGTTGGCCCATGAGGTGGAGATAGCTTTGATGCCTTCAGACTCTTGCCCTGGCCCTGGCCGCCCTGCCGCCCTGGCCTCTTTGAGGCTCGGCACCTTGTCGCCACTCACAAGTCGCTGGAGGCAAAGCCAAATTCCACCGTCGCATCCTTCGGGACCCGTGTGGTTCAGGCTGAACTTGAGCAGCAGTATGACACCACCCGTGCATGGCAACTCTGTTCTGCAGAGATGCGACTGGCACAAGGCCCGGCAAGACGTCGCGTGCCGTCGCCGTGCATTCAAAGCATGTAGCAGGCAGCGGCTCGCTACCGCGAGGACCGCCGAGAGCACCGCGAGCAGGCGACCTGGCTCCGTGCGAATCCCGAGCGAAGCAGAAGCTGGCATCAGCTGAGTTATCTTAGCTTAGCGGCTTAGCCTCACTGTACATAGACTGTCTCTGGCAATGGCCCGAGGCATAACGGCAAGCTCTAAGTCTGAGTTTGTCACAGTGCCTCAATATGAGGTTCGGCAGACTTGACCTCGGTTCCTACCACGGCAACAGACAGTGGGAGCGGTTTCAGGAGAGGTCTTCGCGACCCCTTGGGCACTTGAGAGCCCGACATGTTACGGCGAATGGCCTCAAGCCACCCCCCGCCCTCGGCACGTCCACCCCCCAAGCCCACAGAGATAACCCTCTGTGGTCTCGAGGGGCCGGCCGAAAAGCGACCCGCTCCGAGGAGGCAGGCGAGCGACTTGAGCCAAAATGGCTGTCTCTCTCTCTCTCTCTCGGCCCTCTCCGGAGGTGGTCCGGTAGTAGGGAGGGGCAACATGCCACTTGATGGAGGAACTCAGAGTGAAGACGCAACACCACGGGGAGAACGACATAGTTCAAAAGGGCAACAGCGAGATCAAGCTGCTCGACCACCTCTCCCTCGCAGGCGACCGCAACCAGACGCTAAAGAGGGACCAGACTGGACGGGGGACACGAAGCCCGGCATGAACGTGATAGTGGCAGGGACACCGAGAAGGCAAAGGACGCCCGTGGCCGACGACGACCCAGACACAGCTGCAGCACCTCGAAGGCACAGGACACCAAGTGCCAACGACGACCCAGGACCAAAGGACGACGACATAGCTGCAGCACCTCGAAGGCACAGGTGAGAGAAGTGAGCGCCGACTACAAAGGCGAGGCACCAGTGGCTACAAGTTTTGGGACATATGTCTGATGTACACCCATGCAACTCGCCGGGGACACCCGGATCCGTGAACAACACCTCTGCCGCCGGTGGAAAAAAGTGAACGCGACACTCTGAAGCCACCTAACTTACCTTTTAATTTGTGTTGAGGGGCACCCGCTCATTTCCATGAACCCTAGAATGGTGTGCCAACAGCTTGCATAAGACTTGCATGGCCGTTAATTCAAGCATGTTTTTCCCCTCGCACACACAGCCTTTTACTTAAAAGATTCTTAACAGTGCCGGTGCGAGCAAACAAACACCCCATACGGGGAACACAGTTTCGGAGCACCCTTTGCTATGTAAAGCCGAGCCCATCCAAGCAAAATGTTGGATGGGGTAGCGCTAACGCGCGGGGCGGGAGGACTGCTCCTGCCTCAAACCCCGAGCAAAGCAAAGAGAGACAGAGAGAGAGAGGCGATTGTCTGGGGCGGCTGCCGTTGCAAGTGCTTGTGGCGCTATTATCGGGGGATATCGGGGGGGGGGGGGCGCCTGGAGCCGAGGGTGAGGATCGCTCCCTCACCTCCTACCTGTGCGAAAGAAAGAGGCAAACTGACCATACCCCGGGAGAGAGAGCGAGAGATAGAGAGAGAGAGAGAGGCAAGGGGTGTCATGCCACCAGACTTGGAGGGAGCTGCCCGCTGTCCGCTGTGATACCCTGACCTCCAGGAACGAAAGACCAGAGGGAGCCAAGCTAGCGGCAGTCAGCGGAGTATATCACACCACGGTATTGCTCACCTGTGCTCAAGATGGCTCTTGTACAGACGTGGGGCCCGTGGGGCGCTTCCCTCCCCCATGGGCTGCTTGCTTGCGTCCCCAAACAGGCGCTTTTCTTTGCACTTATTTCAAAACCGACATCGTTGTGAGCCTGTGGGACAGGCATGAAGGTGGCGACGCTCCTGATGGCTCCTGTCGCTACAAGGTTGCCATATCAGAATCAGAGATGGTTTTCTTCCGCACTTGTCAGTTTGGTCGCTCCTTTGCTGCCAAAGGGGTCTTTGAAGGTCGGCGGTCGGTACAAAGTTGCTCGACCACTGGAAGTGTGGAGCGGAGAGCCGCTCGAACCCGAAAGCCCGACTTTTCTGTTGCAGTGTTTGAGATGGGCAACGCCCGTGCCGCCTACCCTCTCGCTTTGGCTGCAGGGATGCATCTTGTGGTCGGCTCCAGTGTTTGGGACGAAGAGCACAGCATCTGAAACACCGCATAGCCAAGCATAGCCGGTCGGCATGTGCTTCGATCCCAAGCCGATATGTTTGGAAGCAGTGGGATGGCCGGGTGGAAACGGGCACAAAGGCGAAGTTGTGCATCGAGTGCACAGAATATCAAAGAACTTGGCATTCGTGTATCCGGCAAACAAGTTTGGACTCAGACAACCACGAACTTGCATGAACTGGTGATGAAAAGACTCTGCATGATCTGTTGCATTAGCTGTGCACATCGAGGAATCGAGGCACACCTTTGGGTGGCATTGGGCTGTGTGCATGTTCACACGTCATGTATCTAAGGCACAAACGTTGAAACCACCTCAATTGCTGCACGCACATGGGCAACCTTACAAGAAGAGCACGTCGATTTCGTGCGATGCTGCCTTGTTTCCGAGTGCTTAGGAATTTGGACGGTACGCGGTTAGAAACCTTGGCTGCCAAGAAGGAGAAAACTCGTGTGACTGGCCGCAGACATGTGCCGAGCTCATGATGCAGGACTCGGTCCTTCTAATCCAATTCTCCGGGGACCAAGGCATCGGGGCTAGTCGGCGAGGGCGGACCCTGCAAAGAGCAAAGAAAGACACGGCAGGAGCTCGCGGCTTGGTCATTCCACAGCCTGCCGAACATCACCAAGCGGGATGGATCTCACTGGAGGCGAACCCAAGGCTTCAAAGGGCTCCACGTCCTCTGCACTGCCTGTTAGGATGCGCAGCGGGGCAGTCGAGTGCAACCGGCATTGGATGCCACGGTGCTGCCAGGCAGTGGCTCTGTTGAAGTTTCATACGGGCGATGCAATGACCACGGGTGATCATGCAACCGCGACATTGCCGACAGTGATGGTATATGTTCTTCCAGTATCTGAACTTCAGCCTTCCTTTACAACGGCTGTGCTTCGCGACTAAGATGTGCTCGTGTAGTTGTTTTCATTCCGAGTGTGGCAAGGTCTGCATTGGCAAGAGTGCAGTTTGATGAAGCCTCATCAAGAGACAAAAGCTTTTGCACTTATTTCCGTCGTGAACCACATCATAATCTGGTGAGATTTGGCATTTGAAGCAGTGCCCCAAATGGCAAGGGAGAGACCCAAGTTTCTCGGTTCTGTTTCCGACAACCTACAAACCACGTCCCTAGCGATCCCGAAGCCATCTCCGGCTGCTTGGATGCTGTGTGGCGGTAGGATCGACTTAAGAAGTGTACCAACACCGAAGCCGCATCCCAAATTTCGTTAAGTGCATACGGTACTCTCTCAATTCCTTGAAAAGTCATGCCAGAAAGAAGCCAACAACAAGAGAAGGACGGATTGCAGGCGGAAAACAGGGCGAGCACGCTCGAGAACAGGTTCGGGAGACCCGGGGGGTCCTCAAACACCTGGACACGCGTGCAATCTCCCAAGATGGACTCCAGGGTGCCCTCACATCCCTCGCACGTATGTTAGTTGGCGACTGTCGACAGGAGTAAAGACCAATAAAGACATCATTCGAAATGGTGGAGGCAGCCTGAATGACAAGTAGTCTTCGCAGGCAGTTCATGTTCGCATTGCGCCTGCTGAGATCCGCACCCGATCTAAAGCCCGGGATTCGGCGTCCCTCGCAGTCGCCAGTGACGAAAATCTCGAGCCAATCACAAAAAACACTGACCTGGACCAAAGCTTCGAGCAGCACAAGCATTCATCCCAGCTACTCAGGCTTGTGAGCATGTCGGTGCTTTCGAGTGGGTGTTCTGCATGCTGGCTTCAAGAGGTGGCGCTTGTACTTCCACGCCACTTTGGTTCCGACTGCAGCTGAGACCCACTCAGCTGTGCAAGACACGAAGTCGAAGATAGATACGATTGAATAATGGCGCTTGTATGAAACTCTGAACACATTGTCAGATTCCGGAGCCTCGTGCATTTGCCTCTGATTCATGTTTGGCTGGTCGTTGGGACGAAGCTGCTGACTGTCCAGGTTGTCTGCTTCCGCTTAGCCTGTTCCGCGAAGAGAGTCCATGGTCCAGCATGTTGGTCTCGGTTGAAGTCATCCTCCACAAGTACGGGAATGTGCTTCCATAGATGTCATGGCATGTGGGGTTGGGGTTCGCAAGCAAACCCCGAACGAAGCTTGCAGAAGTGGGCCCCATTTCCGCAGTTCGAAGATGGATCCCCGAAATGTAGATTCACGAGTCTTCCGCTCCTGCTGGTTCCGAGCACCGCAGAGCAGATGTCTAAGAAGTGTTAGTATGCAGTAGAGAAGGGTGGCCGCCAGGCCTTCATGTCGATTTGATGCCGGACTCGGACTCCCCTTCGTCTGCAGGCTCTTGGGACCTTCGCGCTCGCTACACTGTGCGGAACCCCGCAACTCTTCGCCAAGGCAAGCTCGAAGGCTCAATCCGTGCTTTGTACTTGCCCATCCTGCTGCCAAAGGTACTGAGATTAGCTCTGACTGGGTCGGAGAGTTGAAGGTGGGTGATGAGGTCCCGCGCTTGGCTTCGTCGTGTAAACCTGATGGGGTGGTGCTATTTTTGCGCCAGGTTCTGCTCCTTGACTTCGGGGTCATCGCTGGCAGTGGAAAGGACAAGGCACGAACGAATACCATCGCGGCATCGCGATGCCTCGCAAATCGCGAGAGGGTCTATGTTGCTCGGGAGGCCCGGCTGCGTGCACTGATCAGTGCTGAGGATAAAATCGGCTGGCTGTGGCCTCAGCGGCTGTGTTCGAAGCAGAAGACCTGACAAGACCCCAGCGAGATGCCTGCAGGATGAGTCCTGAAACAGGGGACGGAGACCAGCTGTTGGAGCCTGTGAACCTCCTCAGCCGAAAGGCTAGGACTGCTTTGAGCCTTTGAGCCCTTGCTGATGGCAATCTTCACTCTCGCTCTGCTGGAGGTTGTCGAGATGCACAGGCAGTCTCTTAGGCAGTCCTCATCAGGTCAGAAGAGTGGTGAGTGGACGCGAGCCCCAGAATGAAACTACAAATCATGGATCTGCCTGAAGGACTCAAAAAGTCGTACCAGGAAGGGGGCAATTGCCCTTGGCAGGCCACCGGAATGGACCGAAGTGGAAATTCCTTCCTGATGAGTTCTGGGGCAGGTTGGTGCTACTTATCGCATGCTGGAAAAAGCCGTCGTGCGCTTGGGGCCGGACCTGAAAAGCCAAGAAGTCTTCAAGGCCCGCATCTGCCTCCATGACCTTGGGAGGGCCCTCGTGCGCCAGGTTTCTTCGAGTAGCCTGGTGCTTGTGAAAGACATCAACAATGTGGAGATTCCTGGAGGGTGGCAGGGATCTGAGTATCTTCGCCTGCCTTGACTCTCAGTCTCACCAACCTCCAGCGTGCATCCTGAAGCCGCGGCAGGTGTCCTGTTGCCTTTGTGAACGTGGAGGAAGGCCCAGAACGAGGTCGCACGGGATGGGTCTCAAGCTGAGATTCGACGGCAAGCACGAAGCTTCCAGAGATGTCTTGAGCTCTTGTGCAAACCAGCCCAGCCAGACGCTGGAAGCTTCGGAGACCTCGGACGCTCGCGTTGGAAATCCGCGCCGCACTGCTCGCAGCGATTCTTTCTGACTTCTGCACCGAAGCCTTATGAACCGCGGAATCACGGAATTGAACTTTCCGAATCCCCTTTGGCTTCAAATTGGCTGGGTGAAGCGTGTTGGGCAGGAGTCTGCAGTCAGGTCAAGTGGCTTTTGATGCAAAGCAACCGGCAACTTTTCTGCTTGGCTGAAGGATGCAAGCATCACTGAACACTGCTGTGTTCATCGTTGAGTTGCAAGACGGACAGAGTCTCATGCCAGCCCATAAATGAAGTTGACTCACCATCTGGTGGGCTTTTGCAGCGCAGCATGGGTCATAATCTGAGGTGAGATGCACGGCAAAGGATGGTCATGATGTTGTGCGGCCGTCTCGCTTTCTTCACAGCCACATAGCTTCTTATGCTGTGCAGCCCATGCCGGTGTAACAGATGGACACGCGGGACCACAAAGAATACGACAAAGTTATTCAGAGACTGCGGGAGCAAGTCGCTTAGACATGTCGCTGGCAAGTTTTTAGGCGGCAGAAGTGGCTTGTGCTCCCGCTTGAGGTCCGCAGGATCGGATGTCTCCGAAGGTTCAAGCCCTGCCGTCATTCAGGCCTTCTGCCGTGTCTCCACATTCGCTTCTGTCGTGGAGTCGGTGTGCAGGCGGCCGTGATCATGCAGCTGAAGAAGGCTGCAGAGGCCGAGCGACAGGCACCAGCAGGGCGCCAGTGACACTGTTCTTTGAATCAGCGCAGGACTGTTTAACTTAGTGCATGGAGGCTGAGGCGGAGGCGACCAAAGGTCAGCAGGACATAGATGCATATGTGCAAGAGGCCGGAGGTGGGGAGGCGCCGGCTACTCAGCACACATCCTGGGTCAATTCTGCGACAGGAGAGGGAGGAATGGGGCCAGGACGGGCAGTTCGAGGAGGCAAGTTGGGCATTGGACATATGAGGGTGTCCGACGTCCGACCTGTATCGAAAGGACGGAGATGGCAAAGACACCACGGTCTCTCCTGCTGTCTGCTTCTCGGGAGCTCTTCAGTTCCTCCAAGGTTTCTTTCGGATGCTGCGTCTCTCGTCAGGTGGATACCACTTTCGTCTCGCTGAACGCTTCCATGCAAGATCTTGACGCATTTGCACAGGATTGCCTTTCGAGGCTGCGGCCTACAACATGTCTACAACATTCTACAACTGTGACTCATTGCATCTTGCGGTGTATGTGCGAGGACGAGCGTCTCCTCATGCCAGACAAGACAGAAATCGACAATAGCAGCGGCTGGTGCTGGTGCTCTTGACAGAGCCCCAGAGTACTTTCTCGGTGCAGAGTGAACAGAGATTGGGCGGCAGTATGTTGGAGCTAAGGTGGAAACTAGGCTCAAGAAGAGTCTGGTCTGTACCCTTCGATTCTTGAAAATTGGGATCTCACAAGCCCGAGCCCGTGCTGCAGAGCTGAAGTGCTCGACTTCTCACAATGTCCAGTTGCAGAAGGCGACTGTGGCACAGACTCACGTGACATGCTAGTGAAAGCTGCCAGTGCTTTGTTTCCCCCATGCAGGAGGCATCCCCTCCACCCAGTAAGTCTGTTCGACATTCTACACAGCACAGATGCGCTTGTCATCCGAGAGTCTGATGACCAGCACTGGCAGAATGGTATTCAGCAAGATGTGCTACTGTGTTGGCATGTGTGGGGAACCGACGGCTGCACCGCCAAGCGACAACCAGTCCGGCACCGCTCACACGAACTCACCTGCCTGCAGCTCTGGGCGCTCCTTGCCTTCTTGCTTAGCCAATACGATCCCGCCGGTTCTTGGCCGAAGTCATGCCAGCGAGGGATTGCTTCGAAGCGAATGCCATCCAGCGTCCACACCGCGCAGCAATTGTCCCAGGGCTGCTCTCAGATTTGGTGGAAGCCTTCCTTCCTCTTCCTTCAAGTCGTACTTCCGCGGTGTAACTTGAAGCAGCCACGATTCCCCACAGGTCGCCTAGACGCTTGAACCTGCACTGTTGTCGAGTCTAGACACGACGCAACTTGGCCGAGTCGTCGCTCTCCATCGCAATTACCTTCGGGCGGGATTTGCTCCAGGAGTCTCGATCGACAAAGTCTTTGCCGGCGGAGGTCCTGAAGCTCTGAGCTCGCAGGTGCGATGTGAGCACTCTTGTTCTGCAACCGCGTTAGCAGCGATGCACACCTTACGCTCGTGCGCCTGCCGGAACTTGCGTCGCACACAGCATCTGCCCACATATGGCCAGAAAAGAGCCGCTCATGGCATCGCTAGTTGTCATTTGGGCTTGGACCTTGGCAACAGGTGTGGCAGGCTTGGGTGTGCAGTTCTGGGCAGTCCGAGAGTTTGCTTGTCCGGCTCGTGCATGGGAGCATGCCACTCATTCGACATGCATAGCGGCATTTCGTCGCCCACACTGGGTGACACCACCGTCGCAGTCGCGCCTTTTGCCCTGCTACCGGTTTAGGGCTGCTGGTCGTGCATGTTCCGATGCCCATGCCCTTCCCGCGAAGGCCCCCGCAACAGCCCAGGACTGAAATTCAGTTGTTCAGTTTGAAGGCAACTCGAAGATGCTAGAACTAAACATTCGTGGAAAATGGCTACGGCATCGAGAAAATTTCTGGACTTCCCGCGTGCCATCTGTCGCAATTTGAACTCCAGAGCAAACCTCGGAGCTATGTGTGACATAGTCTCGTCAGTCCAATCAACACAATCCCACGAATCATACTCGAGGGCGGCAACTATTAGTTGAGCAACTTGTGCAAGCATCTTTCCTTGAACGTGACCGAGTGGATTCTGGATCATTGTGTCCAGCCGTGTGGGATCTTCATTGGCATCATGTGTCGGCTGCAGCATCGCCAGAGCATTGATGGTGCTATGTCATCAAAGAAGCTCTTGCAGCACAGTACACGGTGCCGGAAATCTCGGAGCATGAGCACATCAAGCCCAAGCAAGGAAACATTGGCAAGCGTTGCGCAACTCAGTCGTCTCGCGATTCAGGCAGTTCGCTGATGGGAGACTGTACAGTACAGAATTGGAAACCTGTGAGCGATACCTGAACAGAAATAACAGTAGGGATTGCGAAATGAAGCGAACGAAGCTGAGCAACTGATCAGCACACAGACAACACCAGCAGCATAAAACGACTGTGAGTGAAGCCTCGTTTGAGCATCATGCCACGCTCGAGCCTGGACTCGGAGTGTTTCTCAAGTGAGCAGCCCGCCATCCTACGTGATTTCAGTCGCTTTGCCGGCACACTCACATGAGATACACCTTGCGAAGGGATCCCACGGACATTTTCGAAGCATTCTTGCTAGACAGCCCAAATGGCAAATGCTGGCGTCTTCGTGGCTGCCAGTCCAGCATGCATCCATGACACCCCTTGCTATTCTACAGGGTGGGATGCACGCACGAAGCCAGACTATCTAGGGTGTGAACGTAAATGGGCTGTACATGATTGAAATCAATCACAACTCGAAAAAAAATATGTTGCTGGCTCTATACCAATTGATATATACTGGGAGACCTGTATCGGCCTGTTTTCCCCGATAATAATAGCGAGGGCCATCGTTTCGCGATGTCCACAGTGCCTGCAGAAATGACTCGAACTGTGGCTTAATGCAAACTCCGGAGGAATGATGTTGTTCAGGCGAATCAAGTTGCGGGGCACAATCCTGCCATCGCTGCGGTGTGCTAGGTCATTGCGAGCGCAAGCGATCAGAGCACGAAGCACTCGAAAAAGTAGTGATCGCGCACTTCTTTTGTTCTTTACATCCCCCGCCCTCAGTGCTTCTACTACTTTTCATTTTTCGTTTCGGTTTGCTTGTAGCATCGACGACAACAGTAGTAGTAGAGCCCTCCCTCGGTATTACTATTTGCTTTCTGTTCGGTAGTGGTTGTAGTAGTCGTCGTCGTCGTCTTCCCCAGCTTCTGTACATCCTAAACATTCCTAAACTTTCAGCACACATAGGTAGTAGTAAAGGCGCTCCAAAACCGGTCGCCCCACCCATGCCTAAAGCTCCACGTCCCACTCAACCCAACCCCAAAAACCCCACCACCCACTGACGTCGAGAAGATGCTCATGAGGGGCGTGGCCGTCGGCCTGGTGGGCCGGAGCGATTTGTTGTGCCGAGGTTGGGGGCCGCTGGGGTGATTAGTGTCAGCACTTCTTGCGCCGCCTCCTCCCGCCACGCGTCACTCCCGTGCCACCCCCAGTCCGCCAATTGGTACTGTATCTTGCAGATCCTGGCTGAGGTGCCAGCCTGTTGTGAGACCCAGAGGTTCAACCAAACAGCTGGCCACATCCCATTTCAGGATAATTTCAGGGCCACGACGGTTGCGGCACATTGTAGGGGCAGCGACAGGCGCAACCGGCAAATGGCGTCGCAACGCCAACTGCATGGCTTGGGGTTCCACAGCGCGAAGGCTGCAGCAGCACGCTTTGGCGGTAGTAGCTGCTGCGAATCCGCGAAGCGTGACGCTGGCAGCCTTGTTCCGGTTGGGCTCGAATCCGTGCATTTAAATCCCGTGCTGCAGTAAAATCTTGCTTCAGCCCAGATGCGCGACGTGTGAACCCAAAGGGCGGGGGCCAGGGCATCGCCCTGTTCGCAACCGTCGCCGTGGCACAATGTGGCACACATCGTGGAAATTGCCTTTTGTTGCTGCTTCGCAAAGATGACAGGCACGCCATCCACAATGGTTGACATCTGACAATGAAGAACAAGGTGAATAAAGGGTGCAGCTTCGGAAAGATTTTGGTTTGAGGGGTTGCGAGCTTTGGGGCCCCTACTGCGATCCTTGAGATGATGTCCCTCGTTCTGTTGGTTTCAACATCAACAATCCGAGGCACCCTTCTTCTAGGTATCGCTTTGCAGGCTCCGATTCCATTAACCCTAAACGACTGCATCGAACCGAACGCATGGTGCAGTTGTATGGGGGTGCCCAGTGCCATCCTACTTGCCGACGCCAGCCGGCGTCCTTTCTCTCACGGATGAGGGTGAGCCCATCCATCTATGCATGTTCTGACAAAAGTGGTCATGATCCGCCAACTGTTCCAATTCAAGTCGTTGCAAGGCTTAATTTGGCGCACGATTATTGGCGAAGGGCTCTTACCGCTGATTTTCGCTTCCTACGCATGCTGATGCAGCTCACCAGGCCAGGTCAGGAACTCGCCCGGCCAGACCAAACAGTCGCACCAACGCAAGCAGAAGCTCCTCCGGACAGGCTCAGGAGCAAGTTTGCTCCCACCGCACCAGGCAGACACGGCCATGCCCATGTAATCTGCTCCGGCTTTACGCACGCCGGCGAGCTGAAGCTGTTCTTACCCGCCTCCTCCGCTGGTCAGGCCTCCCCGCTCTCGCAGCGAGCGTTCCCTCAGTGCTCGAGCTTCCCCCCCAACGCCGAGCTATGCGAAGGCCCTGCAAGAGGTTTTCGTTGATGCCAGATGGCAGAAGGTCCACTTGCTCCCACGCTGGCCGCTAGTCGGCCGTGCGCGTTTCGGTGCGCTACGGGCACCCGCGCCTGCACCGTAGGAACCAAGTTGACCGGAACCACCTTCTGCTGTTGCACCAAGGCGTGAACACATGTGAACACAACAAGAAAACGCAAAAAAGTTGTTTCACAGCAGGGCTACGAACAACCGAGTTCGCATCTGGGCTTCAACGGTGTTTTCTTTTTTTCTTTGCTGAACTCTGACATGCTTTGACAAGAAATCCTTGGCTCGTCATTCGAGCACCCTTTTGCTGGTCTCTCGACCTACCAGGAGCTGGTCCAGGGTGGTGACCTTTGTGGTGCGGGAAAGGGGCCAAAAAAACAGAGAGACGCCCGACCTCCAAGAGTCACCTCCCCTGGTCCGCCTTGCCTAGGGACGGCGTGCATGGATGGTTGCAAAATGTTGTAAACAGGTCACACCGCATGTGGCCAGCGGTCACGTGGCGTGCGGTGAGGATGGCTCTGTCAGCTATTTCAGGTGGAGACAGGCGATGGGGCTGGCGAGCGCGAACGTGCTCGAAGCCGGAGCCGGAGCCACTCACCTCATGCGGAGTCTTCGTCGGAGGCACCGGGACCGAGTCGTCCGGGAGCCCCGAAACCGGCAGAGCGCGGGCCATCGGCCGAGGCGGAGCTCCCAAGGCCTCGCCCAATGGAGCGCAGCCGCCCCAACAAAGGCGCCGGCCGAGGTGGCGGTAAAGGAGGAGGCAAGCACAGCACAGCGCCTATTCGCGCAAGAGGTGGGGCCGCCGACTTGCAAGCATTGGCACGAGCCATCTTCCGGCGCGGGTGAGGCTTCACATGAGTGCAATGGCGCTTTTGCTTCAGGTTCCTGGTTGCGGCTAGGACGGTTTTTGCATTCTTACAGGCCCCTGCAACATGCA